AATTGCTAAAGAAATAGAACTGGTTGTGGATACAGGTTCTGCAGTGTCTATATTGCCACCTTTCATTTATAACAAGTGCTTTAGTGACATACCTCTCCTCCCACCTGCTGTTTCACTGGTGACATACACAAGGAAAACCATTCCTGTGCTAGGCTGCTTACAAGCTACTGTTACTAGAGGAGACTCAACGGCATCATCCAATTTCTATGTCGTGAGGACTGTTACACCCCTTCTTGGTAGGGACCTAATGGGTGCCTTAAAAGTTTGCATTAAAGGAACTGCTGTTCTTCCCCCATCTTCTAGTGCTGCTTCACCTGCTCCTGTAATGAACACAAATGCTACACCTACCTGCATCCCTATGGCTTCAGAAATCGGCTGTGCACACAGTTTTGTGCATAAAGTGAAGATTGACCCTACTGTCAAACCAGTACGGCAAAAACTGCGCCGCCTGCCATTTGCAGTGAGGGCTTCTGTCTCGGCTGAGCTGAATCGCTTGTTGAAAGCTGGCGTCATTGAAAGGGCGTCATTGAAAAGATTGATGCATCTCCTTGGGTCTCACCCATTGTTGTCACAGGATGTGTGCTGACATCCGTGAACCAAACAAGGCTGTTATCTGGACTGTTACCCACTGCCTCATGTGGATGAATTATTTGCTAACTTACAAGGTGCAAAGGTATTCTCTACAATAGATCTTGCTAATGCATACTACCAGTTACCTTTACATGAAGATAGCAGAAACCTTACTGCGTTCATCACACATGAGGGTCTTTTCAGGTTCTGCAGGGTTCCTTATGGTCTTGCATCAGCTCCTTCAGCTTTCCAGAAAATGATGGCTGAAATACTCAAAGGACTCACTGGTGTCCAAAACTACCTGGACGATCTCATTATCTATGGTAAAACGGCTGCTGAACACGACAGTAACCTCAGTACTGTTCTCCAGAAACTGAATGATGCAGGACTGCTGCTTAATGACACAAAATGCCATTTTGGGAAGCACTCGTTAGGCTTCCTAGGCCATGTCATAACCGCAGGAGGTATCCTTCCTGACCAA